TCATCAACTTCTAATTCTACATAATTCCTAGGATTTGTAATCTTGATTTGCTAACAATACACTTTTAAATTGGTGTAGCTATCTTTACAAGAGCCAATTAGCTCAAAAACAACCTTTTTCTCTTTTATACCATATTATCATGTAGGATATTATAATGAATTCATTATGTCAAATATCCTTTCAGATATCTATAGCTTTGTATTATAGGAAGTCTTCCAACTTTGTTCTTCACATTGCCTACTTTATAAACCACATTAGCATATCGGTTGCCCAAATGGTCAGCATCAATGCATGTGTGTTTAGAAATAAGAGTTTGAATGACAAATTCATTTGTGCTTGCCGATTCTTAGAATACTTCATTGTGTATTTTATTGAATTGAACTTGATAATAGATGTTTCATAATGTTTGGTAATCACATAATGAGAAATTGCTTCCTTCAATTCCTTAATACTACTAAAAACAACACTCACCATTAGAGAAGCTATCATTTCAAAATATTATTTTTATTTTTTATTTTTTTAAAGTTCTTCAAAAGTCAAACCTATCAAAGATCCATATTTTGTTGATCATGCACAATATTCAAGAGTATGCCAGTTTTCTTGCATAGGGTGCTAAGCTCCTCTTCATAATTTCAATGAGAAGAGTGTAGTAAATAGTTAAATATGTAGAACCAAAAAAAAAAATTGGAAGTGAGTGTAGTCTTCTTCAAATGATCACGGTAGAAACATGTTGACTTCTTTCCCAGGAGCAAGTCTGTCTTCACGATGATGTGCAACATCTCATCAAACCTGGTCCACATAGAAGCCTTTGGCTGAATGCGATAGCCGCTTTGTGCTTGAATATACAAAATTCAAATGGCATGAGGATCTGCAAACAAGGGATGCCTACCAATTATTCAGGAACAACTAAAATCTTTCATTTTACGAGATGAAGAAGAGGGCCACAAACCTCGCAAAAAACAACGCATAAACTGAATAACTGGCTCGACTTGTTCAAAGCACAAGCCGTTTCTGGTGTTGCTTGGATTGTTACTGACCTTTCATTGTCAAGCCTCCGATTCTAAACACCTGGTCTTCACTATGATTCTCGTGCTCTTGCATTTACTGCGAAGAACCCCTCTGCAGAACGAAAAGATGGCGGAGGTAGTGTAAAAAGATCGTAGAATCACCACAACCTTTACTGGATTGCTGCGGCACCAGAGCACAACGTTAACTTGAGTCTCTCAATGAGCCCCACAAACAGGCCGAGGAAAGGGATAATTATCATGTGCAGACGACTGAGCGCACTGCACTTTTCTGACAGATTGCATAAATGTAGTCGGAGGTTTCGACCGTCATCTCATGATTACCCAACCTTGATTTGACAGTAAATTCACCTCACTAATTCAATAGTTAGCCTCGGCACTAGGACTCAAGAACAAATCCTCTCTCCCCCAACGTCGAACTAGGGATCTAGTCGACGAGCTCAGCGAGTTGCTGCGAATCGTTGAGAGGGATAATACGCTTGATGGATTTTCTTCCCAGCAAGTGCAGCGTTGTTTACCCACGTTTCTTGCTATATTTGAGAATGTGCCACAAGTGATAAGAAGACTAGATTCAACGCCTAGAATTAGTGAGAGATTATCAATCAAGCTTTTTGAATTTTATGCAATACAATCAACAACATGCCAATACTAACATTCTCCGTCGAAATCTGATCTTCATGAACGTTATCTCTGAACGTTACTGAGCAAGGCTGACGACAATAAGTACTTGACTGCATTAGTAGTAAGTATCTACATCCAAGCATATCAATCACGTGTTTTAAGTAGATCCATGGGCCAGTATGCACGTGACATTGAAGCAGCATTAGCGAGAGCTGCCTTGGAGCCTTGTATCCGGATGGACCCTTGTATTCGATCACGTCGTGTAGAAGTGGCTGTGTAACCAGACTCAGAGGAAAAGCCATGTCTACATGAATGATAGGCTATCCATGTGTCAGTGGAATGTAATATCATCATTACACACACGAAATTGGATTCGGTGCTTACCAATTTGAGCACACCTCTAAACCCCCGCGCATCCGCATAGCAACTTATAATCCAGCAGCTCGCAGAAACTAAAACTCGCAGAAACTTGAACTCGCAGAACTGGAACTCGCAGAAACTCGCAGAAACCAATGTCTGAGGCAGAACTCGCAGGCTTTGGGCCTCAGTTAAAACTAACAAAAAAAACTGGAGACACATAGTGCAAAGGGCATTTTTGCAATTATCACAAAAAGCAGGGGTAGATATGGTATTATCAAAACTTGAGGGGTATTCTTGATATTTCGGGAAAGTTCAGGGGCATGTGTGATATTTGCCTTTTTATACATCATATGAAATAAAATTTAAACTTCTTAGTGAGCGTACTTATTTATACTTTGATCAATAAATTAATTACTCAAAATCAATGCATTTCAAATTTTTTGCAATAGAATATGTGTGTGTGTGTGTGTTTATATATATATATATATATATATATATATATATATATGGAATTTGATGGAAAATTTTGTTATTATTCCAACTTGGAATAAATCAGAATGTTTCAAGAATAAATATTAAAAATTACAATGATATAATTCTATGATACCCATAAGTTTAAATATGAATTTCATTAAAATAATTTTGGTGTAATTTTTAATGTTTTTGGTAAGATAAGATTATATGCTTGTATTGTAGAGAAATAAGTGCCAAATTTATATAAAAATAATTCAACAAGTTAAAGTTGTATTGTAGTAATGAATGTTGTTCAATTACACATAATCATTCTCATTTGTCCAATCATATGAAAGTACATAAAGTGTTGTTTTTCTCATACTATCATATTGTTGATAATATTCTCTTTGAACAACAACATTGTGTTGCATTGTGTTACTCTGTATTTCTACTCAGTTTCAAAATAAGCTTGGATTTTTATTTTGATCTTTTTTTATTTCATCTGTTTTTCTATATATATTAATTAGACATTGTAGGATATTAGACAATGTTAGTAGTTGTAACTAAATAATAAGTCCCAAAGCCTATTATTTATTATAAATAGACAGCTATAGGATCTAGACACTTAGAATAATAAAAAAAAAAAAAAAAAAAAAAAACATTTCTGTAGATTGTCTTTATACATATTTTATTGTATCTAACTAAAATAACAAAATTTATATTTTTTTCTTACTCATGTTTTTTAAATAAAGGAATATGACATGATTGAATGAATAAAATTTTCTAACCATTATTGTTTGATTTACTAGTAAAAAATGTAGAACATTTCTTGTATTTTCATTTTCATTTTTCTTTTTTCTTAATGTGTTTTTAAGCACGTCAAAGATATGTATATATATATATATATATATATATTCATTTTTTTTAGTATAAAATGTGTAGTTGTATAAACTATTGTTTTATATCTTAATAGTTATAATTTTTAAAAATTTGATAAAATACTTTCTTCTACTTTTATTACAAAATTATAAATATATATATATATATATATATATACACATGTATATACATTTATTTATTCATTGTATAATATTACTACATATGTAAGATTCTCAATTAGCTCATATATGTCTTCATTACATTTATATAATTGTACATTCCAATTTATTCTAGCACAACTTCAACCTCAAGACGTTATCTACCTCAAATTTGTGATTGCAATGTATTCCAATAAACAATAGTGATAGTATTTTTTATTTTATTTTATTTGTTTCTTTTAGCATAATAGTTGTTATTAAAATTTTAATAAAAAAAACACATAAAGCAAGGTAAATCTTTGTTAATTTTGGTGATTGCAACTAATATGCAACTTTATATATTCATTGTTTCATAATGGACAATTCATATTTTTAATAGTTTAACTTGTGACAAGAGTAATTGATCTTGATATTGCAACAATATAATTGTATCTTATTACTAACTTAGAATGGATGTTGTTTGTTTCTAAAATAATTTATCTTAACTTTTTCTTACATAAATATTTTTTAGATAAATATATTTTATCAAACAATATTGATTATAATAATGTACATTTTTTTTAAGACAAAGCAAAAGTACTATTTAGATTTATCAAGATTACAAAAAGATTACAAAAAGACAAACTTGGCATATAGACTTAGTCAACTTTAATTTACTATTCTTTACAACAAAATTTTGTATTTCCAAACAACAATGATTCCACCTCATTGAATTGACATATATACTCACTAAAAAATGTTTTAGAAACTCTTAACTTTTACACTCTTATAACAAGATGTTAAAACATAAAGAATAACAAATACTAATATTAAATAAAGAAAGAAAAATAATTAAATATAAATATAAATAATAACACATAAACCTAATGAAAGAATGCAATGAGATTGAACATAATTATATTCTTTGAAAGACTTCAGAAACAATACACACAAAGAAGTATCCTTTCTTCTTCTTGTGAAATTCGTAGTCATCAAAATAACAACAAAGTGTTGGAAAATGATGCAATGGGGTAGTATTATGCCATTATAAAAGTAATGTATTCATTTATTCACAACAAAATAGTCATCCTCATTTGTCCAAATCTACTGCGGAAGTGCGAGCAATATCAAGTGTGCACTACATTCCTCATTTTGTTGCATCCTCCACAACCGATCTTGTTGCATGAAACTGAGATCTTCTGCATCGTCACAAATGGAGAGAAGGCAGAATTAGAATTTAAGCACAAGCTTGCACCTTACACCGAGAAATTTCATTGTAATTCGATGCAAATCGAGAATCTACAACAGATAGTAATTATTAGTTATTTATTTATTTATTTATTTTGGACGTGGGTTTTGATGAATGCTGCAAGGAGATGACATTTGAGAAGATGGGTTGAAGACCCATTTGCAAAAAACACACCTTTTCAAGTTTTGTTGTGGGAAGCGATGAAAGCGATGAAAAAGGACTTATGATGTGGAATTATGTGATGGTATGACGGTGCAGAAGTTGCGGCGCGGCCATGAGAAAGTGAGAGATGGCGGTGTTAGGAAAAAAGGAAACACAAAATCTGGATTGTTGGAGTGCATTTCTTTTTCGGAGACTTGAATTTGTAACTCGAAGTTGAAGCTTCGCTGAGGTTTATTTTTTTTATTTGAAGCATTGGTAGCAATGGCTTCTCGCCTCTTCCTTCGTTCTGCTCTTTCACTGAGGAGAGCTTCCCGTTGTGCTTCTTCTTCTTCTTCTTCTTCCTTTCGATTTGTTTCGTCTTCTGGATTTTGTTCCTCTTCGGGTACGCCCGGATTTCATCCATTGCCAGTATCTGATGCTGCTGTGGGTATCGAGCAGCCTGCGCCTGAGAGTTCCTTAGTCGTCGATCGGTCGGGTCTCTTCAATACTCCAGGTCCCAACCCTGATATTCCTGTTTGTGAGCTTTATTTTTGGATAAAAAACAATCTTCCGCAGTTCGAATTACATTGCGAATCGATTGTCATTGTTGTGACGTTGCACGTGCTTCACGAAGCTCTCATGTCTAGGAGCCTTTTGCAACTTCGTTGTTGTACGGATTTAATTTCTTTGATCTTGAGACCTAAATGTTTAAGCACGTCGGAATGCATCCGCATGTGGGTTTAAGTCGAGGTTTTTTCGTTTTAGCTTAACTGGTGATGCATGTGAGGGTTTGGAGTTTAGGGTTTATGTATTAATTTTGGTTTTGAAAAGTTCTAAATCAAAGTGGGTGTTGAATGAATAGAACACAGCCATGGGCCAGGACCGTCGGAGGAGACTCCTATGGCGAAACACCTCAAGGCTCTCATCCGGGTGAGAAATGACTATCTTCTTTTAATGCCGATGTATTTGACGTTTGTGGAATCGTCTATACCCAGTATCTATGTGTGAAGACCTCATTCAACGCAGCAGTTTTACTGTCGCTGTTATTTTTCAAGCTTAATATTCCGACACGTATTTGAACCGGTTATTCTTTCGAGTGAACTGATCGTCAAGAATCTTGGAAAAGTATCTTGTACTTGAGGACGATTATAGCATTCCAAGTCTATTGAATAGTTGAATGAATTTTCAACCATGCTTCCACACAGTTTCGGGGAGGCCCAATCACCGTCGCTGAGTATATGGAGGAGGTATTGACAAATCCAAATGCGGGCTTCTACATGAACCGCGATGTCTTCGGAACTCACGGAGACTTTGTCACATCACCCGACATCAGCCAGATGTTTGGCGAGGTATTTTTTTTTTTATTGGACGTCAACATTGATACTTTGCACTTTTGTGAGTCTCGTTATGGTGGATGGTGAATGACACTCAAACTTCCTACTCAACGTAATGCACTGTGGCTAGAATTTTTTTTGGGTTATGTACTTGAATGTTTGCTGAAGCATATTGTTACATGGTCACGTAGATGGTGGGCGTGTGGAGCATGTGCTTGTGGCACCAAATGGGTCAACCCGAAGCCGTGAATATAATTGAGCTGGGACCTGGTCGAGGTACCTTGATGGCCGATCTTCTTCGGGTAATCTTGTGAACCATAAATGATTGAGTTCTGCTTTCAAGAACTTACACATGTTCTTTTGTTTTCAAGTTCGAAAAACGTTCGAAGCGAAAAGCACGAATAGGAAATGATTATCATCTGGTTAATTTTTCATCAGAAACATGACAAGACCTAAGGCGTAAGAAGCGATGATATCCGTGTTATATTTGAAACCGCTTGTGTTGTCTTTGCAGGGAACTGCAAAATTCAAGGATTTCTCGCAAACGTTGTCAGTTCATCTGGTTGAATGCAGTCCTGCTCTGAGAAAAATTCAGCATGAAACACTTAAGTGCGTTTATAAGGGAGGAGCTGAAGAGAAGCCCACAGCTGATGGCCAAAACTCAGAAGTTGTGGACGATCGGATTAGTCAAATCTCAGGGGTTCCTGTAGCTTGGCATTTTGATCTTGACCAAGTTCCTCGAGGAGGTTGTTTCTACTTCCTTGCGGACTGATATTTCAAACCACCGAGTGAAATTCAGTATCAGTTGGAGTATGTTTGTTGCTATGAAATGACATTTTTGGCATAATGTAACCAACAACTTTGTTTTTAACTACATATTAACAAGTTCGTCATGGTATATCGTTTCCTATGTGCAGTTCCTACAATTATTATCGCTCATGAATTTTATGACGCCCTTCCCATCCACCAGTTCCAGGTATACCTTTCCTTTCCTTTATCAATATTCGTATTGTATATACAGTTTGCTATTTAGACGCTGTTAAGGCCATGTTTCTTTTCTGCATTATTTTGAACTGATGATATGGATGGGTGGCAAATTACAGAAGTCGCCACGAGGATGGTGTGAAAAGCTGGTTGACGTTGCTGAAGATGACTGGTATGCTTTCGTTCCATAGTAATTTCTGGGTCTTTGAAGGTCGTGGTATCTAAGTTTTAGTGACTTTCTCATAGAAGTATTTGTGCATCTTTGATTCATAACTGTATTGACCAAAGGTGTACAAATTACGTTTCATAATATTCGTGGTTTGTTCAACAGGTAGTTGGGAATTCACGAGCTGTTACTTCTCATTGTATTAGTTTCTTTGGTTTGATTAATGTCTTTCAGGTGTTCAGTTTCCAAGTACAGTTGCTGGTTTCACATTGATGATCTTGAATCCTGTAGCCAATTTGAAATATGTGTGCATGGTTCCAGCCAGGGGTTGAGGTTTGTCTTGTCACCAGGACCTACTGCAGCAAGCAAATTATTTCTCACAAGGCGAATGAAATGGGCTTCTTTACAAGAGAAAGCTGAGATAGAACATGTTGAGGTCTGTCCTCAGGCTATGAAAGTGACAGCTGACATCGCAAAGAGAGTTGGTGGGGATGGGGGTGGCGCACTCATCGTGGATTATGGAGACAGCAAAATTGTATCAGACAGCCTGCAGGTTTGTTTTCAAACAGGCTGCTTTTATCATGTTAACTTTGCATCCATATTATGTGACCATGTGTTGCATGGAAGGATCACTTTCTTGCTGTGACAATTTGGCAGGCAATTAAGAAACACGAGTTCGTCCATGTCCTTGATAGCCCGGGCAACGCAGACTTAAGTGCTTACGTGGATTTCGCTGCACTGAAGCACGTTGTGGAAGACGCAGCAGGTAACTCTGACCCTGAAACCGACTTAGACTTCTAAAGAACTAGAGTATAACATCGAGCATGTGTGTTTGTACAGTGCCATTTTTATTTTTTTTTGCAAATAAATGATACTAGTCGTGTTCTTACGTATGCCAGCATTTTTGTAAGTAGCTCAAAAGTCTTAATTTATCTGTAACAGTGGGTGCAGCAGTGTATGGGCCAATTACTCAATCACAATTCTTAGGAGCTTTAGGCATCAACTTCCGTCTTGAATCTCTCGTGCAAAATGCCACTGACGAGCAAGCTGAAGCCCTGCAGCTTGGGTACTGGAGATTAGTGGGAGATGGGCCAGCACCATGGCTAGACTCTGATGATGATGTCAATAGGGTACCCCCAGGTATGGGCTCTCGATATAAAGCGTTAGTAGTAGTTAATGATAAATATGGTGCTCCTGTTGGCTTCCAATAACTCAAAGCATGTCGGGACACCCAAAAGTTGATGTATGTACTGTCATTTAGGACTGGTAATATAAAAATTGATTCTTCTTCACCCTCATGTTCCCAGTATCAGAAGGAGTCGTTTCCTTCTTGTAGCTGCTGATAACTTCTACTTACAGTTTTCAGCTTCTCAACTCCGACTGTAGAGACACAATTCGTTGGCAGTTTAGCCGTAAATCATATTGATGAAGACACTATTGCAAGCGATGAATTGCAAAGTAACGTCCCTGTCGCAATTAGCAGTAAAATCTCTTTTGTCATTAGTAGCAATGTTGTGCTCTTGGAATGCTATTAACCTGCACATAGTTTAACCACGTGGGTTCTTTCAACTATCTTTATAACCAACATCACTTTGGGGTAGACGAATTGCTAAAAAAAAAAAAAAACTAACCTCGTGACCACTATTGGTGGATTTTACCAGTTAGAAAACGAGTGAACAAAGTACACTCCAGGGGTTTCCAACTCTGAAAAGCTGAGAAGCTAATACAATCTCTTAATAAGAGAGTACGAGTGTCTACCACCTGGTGTTTGAAACTGAGAAGCATCCACCATTGAAAACCTCAAACGGACATTATCTTAACATTTTAATGTGTTGTCCACAAACCACAATCTGATTCTCAGTAGATCCAATATCTCTTCATTTGTCGAACCTTGTCTTCCGTCTCCCACATCTCCTAACTTTACTGAAGTACACACTTCCTTCCGCAGCCATTCCACCCGAAACTTGTCACAGCGAGAATCAACGATCATCCTCACCAGCCGTACCAAGACTCGGCACCGGAAGGATAGACCCCCCATGATGGCGTCACCGAGGCGTTGATCGGCCGCTTTTTCTCACATCAAATGTCGGCGAGAAACCGTTTCTCACCGCTTCCATCTGTCCGCACTTGTCACAGGCTCACTGAACGACGTTTAGGACTCAAACGCATCGTTGACGAAACTGGGTTGTCCAGATGAACGGTTACATAATCAACTGCAACTAATCGACTAATGACTTGAATGAAGAACGAAGAGTGTTCGGGATGGGATGTGAGGAAATGGAAACACGGTGAGATGGGTTTTGGTGTCCACACATGGATAAGCCAATTTGGGGGTGCCAGCTGCAAACGAAAGAGCCACTTGGCAGACTGCCACGTGGGAATAGCCCACACGCATGCCTGATTCCAGGTGGCGTTGCCGTGAGCGCCGCACCGTGCCAGTCAGGGAGGTTAATACCACTGGCCCCCGAGTGAACAAACCATCTTCGCAGTCACTCGATCACATTTTAATTTGTATAAACCCCTTCTTTCGATCCCACTGTAGATACCAATCTCTGTGATAGAACCCACCTGGTTCAATTTTTTGTGTAAGTATTGTGTTGTTGGTGTTTTCATTGCTGCGTTGAGATAGAGGTGCTGTAGTCGAGCGTGAAGAGAAGGTTCAGAGTTTAGCGATCTTTTTGTAAGAATGGCAGGAGCTGGAAAGATGAGTTACGCCGATATGGCAAAGACCAAAGGCAATGACGCTAAGGAATCCGTCGACGATGGCAAGCATGAGGCCAATGCGGCAGCTCACGATGCGGAGGTGAGTTTTGAGATTGTGTCGCTGTTCTTGAGGTGTGGGGTGTTTTTATTTTTGTTCGTGCTCTGGGCGGAAGTTGTACTTTTTTTCTGTAGGATTGTGCTGTCTAGTGTGATGAATATTGTGGTGATGATAATATCTTGTTGACGTGTGCAGGATGTTGCATCTGCCTTCGGCAAGGGTGCGAAGGATACCGCGCAAACGACTGCTGAGAACGTTAAGAACTTGGGCGGTGATGCAGCCGACGCAGCCAAGAACAAGGCTGAGGATGTGAAGGAAGGTGCGGAAAAAAAGGGCGAGCAAGCGAAGGAGAAGGCTCCTGATACAAAGGATGCCGCAAAGGACACTTCTGGATCCGCCAAGAGCAAGACTGGAACAGTAACTGAGTCGGAGTCTGATATTACGAAGAAAATTGACACTGATGTCTTCGGGACCGACGAGTTCCCCGCAACTGGTGAAGCAGAGTCTCACAAAGATGCGTCGCACATGCGAGACGAGAAGAAACCTTCGCACAAAGAATCTTCGAATGAAGAGTCTCACCACGACGTGTCGCACAAGCGCGACGCAAAGAAAACTTCACACAAGGAGTCTTCGAAGGAGGACAAATCTGCCCATGGCCCAGACGGTTCTGACATTACCAAGGAAATTGATAGCGATGTTTTGAGGACTGAGGAGTTTCCGGCAACTGGTGAACGCCCCAAAGGTTTTTACGGGGGTGAGTCTCGCAGGGATGAGTCTCACAAGGATGAGTCTGAAGGCGGCGATGTGAAGAACTTCGAGGGTTCAGAGTTTGACGTTTCTACCAAGCGCGAGGATTCCACACACGAGCATTCGAAGCACGAAGACAAGAGCGATGATTCTAAGCCCACGACACACAGGCAAGTTTCTGGAACATCGGTGGCTGACATTGTTAAGAGAATTGACGCTGATGCACTGAGGACTGACAAGTTCCCAGCAATCGGTGAACGATCTTCCAGGAGGCATGAGTCAACGTCTCACCACGAGAGCAAACCCGAGTTTCACCACGAGCGCAAGTCAGAGTCTCACCATGAGCGCAAATCAGAGTCTCACCATGAGCGCAAATCAGAGTCTCACCACGAGAGCAAGTCAGAGCCTCACCACGAGAGGAGGCCTGGTGTGAAGACAGCGGATGAGGAAGTAGAGGATGCGTTGCGCGCCGCGCGAGGCGAATCGACCGATGTTACAGACAGAGCAGCTGATAAGGCAAAGGAAACGAAAGACGCAGCGGCTGACAAGGCACACCAAACTAAGGACGCTGTAGCGGACACAGCCCAGAGAGCTGTGGACAACATGGGCGATGCAAAGGAAGACATCAAGGGCGCCGCGGTAGATGCTAAGGACACCGTGAAGAACACAGCAGGAGACATCAAAAACGAAGCAGACAATTCAGCGAGCGCACACCAGCCCAAGGTAGGCGAAGCCAAGGAAGACGCAGGTCACAAATGGGACCACACCAAGAACAAAGCCGGCGAACTCGCAGGATCTGTGCAGGAATCTGCAGGAGCAGCAGGAAATGTGGTGAGGGAGAAAGCAGAGCAGGTGAGGGACTCAGTCAGCAGTGCTTTGGGAGCTTCGAAAGAGAAGGCCAACGAAGCCAGTGAACACATCCAAGACAAAGCTGCTGATTCTCAAAGGGCCGCATCTGCAAGGCAAGATGCGGCTGCAGCTCGTGGTGAGTACACAGCTGACAGCGAGTGGAAGAGCAGGGCTGATGCAGCAAAAGACAAGGTTGATGAGGCCAAGAGCAATGCTAATGAAGCTTATGGGAAAGCTGCAAATGACACCAAAACTGATGTGTACCCCAAGGCTCAGGAAACCGAGGAAGCGAAAGGCATTTTGGGTGCTGTTACGAACATCCTCGGTGAGGCTTCCATGGTCATTCAGGACACTGTGAACGCTCCTGGAGAGAGAATTAGCGACGAGTAGAACAACAGACAATCTGATGCTGTTGCTGTGATTTGTGATTCTGCTTTGTGGATATGAGTTGCCGTTAGATTGGTACCTGATGATATCATCACATTTAGCTCTCGATTTTAGCTTCATGGGGTCTCTGGGTTGTGCTTTTGTGAGCTTGGAGATCAACGGCGACCACATCACAGCTTGATGTTTCTATAATAAGAGCGTAGTTTTCTCTCGATTGGATTAGGTTTTTGAGACTGTAATCAAACTTGAATCCGGAGTTTCTTTTGTATTCAATGATACTGTAATATTAACAGCCGGTTTCGTGTTGAATTTTGTTTGTTTGTTTTTTTTTTTTTTTTTTTCATAGCCTTCGATTGCGCTTTGCAACATGACAGAATCTTGAAAACAGATTATACAAGTAGAGTACATGTGAAGTTGTGCAGTAAAACCTTCAGGTCACAACAAGCTTCATAAATCTCATTGTCACATTTTCTTACATGCCCATTGAACATTCTTAAACCTCTGCTATTGCAATTAAAAGTAACTACAGTCACGACATTATTTTCAATCAAAACAACTATTTCTCAACTTAATCAATTAATCAATCAATTCTGTTGCATCACATACAACCTTTGCGTAATCAAATGTGTGTTCTTACCCTGCTAATTAAACTCACTATGTTTCTTAATGCATATGTCTATCATTCCTCGTGACATTAGAGTAACATACGAAATACATTAATTCTTTTCACATTAGTGGTTTAAAAAATGATTATATATATATATATATATTTATATATAAATATGTGAATATATACGGACACATAACATACGCAATAACATCATCAAAATCAAACCAACTATGTTTTAAAAACCTACATTAAAGTTTTAAGATAGTTTTGGTTCTAAACATTGATATTTTTTTGCTATAATTAATTGTAAATGTCATATTTTAAAAATTCAATTAAAGTTTTTTTGAACCATTACAAAAAATTATATCTTTAATTTTATTTATCTTTAATTTTTTGAACCACTACAAATATTTTTATTAATCTTTAATTTCAAAAAAACTTTAATTTAATAAGTTTATTGTCTAAAAATTTTAATTTTAATTTAATAGATAGAAAAATATAAATTTAGACAATAGTATGTCAAGATATTTGAAACTTAGTCATTTAAGTAATAAATAGAAGAAATTTACAATATAAACTTAATCCTCCTAATTATGTAAATAAAAATTACTGTGTGAATTTACTATTTCTGAAAAGAATAAATACATGATTTTATTCAAAAGATTATAATTATCAAGATAACTTGTATATTATAATTTTTTTAATTAAAAATAAAACTACTTTCTTCAAACTAAGGATCTAGAAAATATATGTATCTATAACATTAGTTAATAATTACCTTAAAAAAATGTGGATGTATATTTTAATCGAAAATCTAAATTAATAAAAATATTTCAAAACTCTCATAATGAATTTAAATAATTTAACTTAAATAAAAAATTAATATAATAATTTTTATTTATATAAATGTGTAAGAAAAAAAATTGATCTAAGCTTATAAATCCTATAGAAACGAATTACTTGTGAAATTTTAATTAGTTTTTTAACATTTTCAATACCAATTTATATTTGAGTGATAAAAAAATATGACTTTTGCATCTCCAAATCAATGTCTTCTAAAGATACATAACATCAAGACTTCAACTATATTGTCTATGGTAGAGAGTTTTTGAACACATTATCAAACTTATCTTTAGGCAATAAAGACATTACTTTATAGTAAGGTTCTTAAATATTTTTAATGCATAACTTATATTAAAAAAAAAAAAAAAAAAAAAAAAAACCTTTAAAATATATGGAAAAATATATAAATATACATGTAACAAAAAAAAACAATTTTTTTTTGCTTCTTATATTCAAATTATCAACTTTACATATATTTTTCAAAAGTGATACAACTTTTCTTTTAATTTTTTGCAAAATATATAAATACAAATCATAATTCTAATCAAAATTCTATAATTTATGCAAATATAATTATTTCCTTCATAACCAATAAAATATAAATTCATCACTTTTTCCACTTAAATATGCTAAAAGAAAAATACCTTGATTTATTAAAATTTGAATTTATTAAAAATTAAACATATTATTTTATAATTATAATATAATGTAAAATTAAGTTCATGATTGCACAAGGCATCTAATTCTAGAAGGATTTTAGTTTATCTTAAAGTTCTTCTTGTAATCAACAAGAATTTATGAAGTGTTTAGAAGAATCTATCTTAACAATTATGATCCTTTTAAAATCAATTCAAAGAAAAGTCAGAATTTTTATTTAAGAGTTGGATGGTCTTCTTTCTTCAAACTTAATGTTTATCTCTCACTTTCAATATCTCTCTCTTGATTATTAATTTTCTCTAAAACTTTGCAATTAAGAAATTTTGGTATTTACATTTGCTAATACTTGACCAATTTTAACTTCAATCAAACTAGCAAATTATTCCAACTCTTAGAAATCTTTACTAAACCCTCAAATTTTTAATTTTGGATATCTTAATCTACTTGAACTCCTACAAATTTTAATCTAATCATCAAAATGAACTCAAATTAAAAAAAACACATTCAGCAAAACTATTTTCACCAATCCACAAATTTTTAGTTATAGATTTGTATCATAAACTGTAAATCCCACTTTATTTCTTAAAATCCAATATCAATTAAATCAAATCCTAAATTTACATAGTTCTAACAAAGTCACAAAAAATTTATTAAAAACCCAAAACTTTCCAAGAAATGTTCACAAAAATCTTTTCTAGTATACTCTCTATTTCAAATTTTATTCAAATAGGAAATCATCTTTTTATTGTAGATGTGTAATTTTATGCCTTATGTCAGGTTTTGATATTAATTCATAATTAGGCTTCTTTTAGTATCAATGTAAGGATTTTTTAAATATTTTTTTCTATAAATTATGTATTATTTTATCTAAAGATATATATGGTATTTTTCATTCAAAGATTGCTTTATTTATGGTCCTACAAAAGAAGTAGAAGCTTCTTAAAAACAAATGTAGTATAGTCTAAAATTTCTATTACATGCCTATCATTTACATATGACTTGTAAAGTTATTTATGACTATATTTTTATTAAAGCCCTTATATACTATTGGTCTTCATATACTCTTTCACCTTATAGTTGTGTTATAATGAGATATTGTGTTAATTACTTATATTACATAACATATATATATATATATATATATATATATTGAATTAATGTTGGATTATATTCCATCACCTCCATTAATCCTAGCTTATCAATTCCATCAATTTTAGGTTATAAATCCCATCAAATATTAAAGATCTAATGGCAAGAAAAATATTACATTTGTTTATTATAATTTATTATTTTTTTATTACAAAATCATAGAATTTTCTTCAAAGTGATTAGATACAATTTACAATATCTGTACTTGAGTTTGTTTCATCTTAGTTTATTCCATGGCTTGTCTAAACTTTTCTTAAGTTTGTTTTTATTCTACTTCTTTAAATGATTACCAAATCTTCACTTGGCTTGAAATGGTGATTGTAAGAAAAAAAAAAATTATATTTGTAAAAATTACTTACTTGTATAATAGATATTATTAACAATGTGTAAAACAAAGAATGTTCAAGTCTATTGTGGTATTGATCACAAGTTTAAAGAAGATTCAAAGTATAATTAAAGGATTTTTGATACTCTATGATTATATCTAAAAACAATAATTAATGTGGAATAAATTGTTGTAAAATCATTAAGCTAAATTTTAAGAAAAGAGATGTAAAATAGAAATGAAATCAGAAATTTCATCACATCCAGATTGTCATGTCAAATTCATGAATTGCAGCAAATAGATTAAATAATTTATAGTAACTCTTAAACTAGATGTCTTTATTTGATCAAAATAATTAAAAATTTATTGTAACTTCTAATTAATCTCTATATATAGTAGATATGTAATTTTTTTTCTCATTCCTCTTATAAAATTATCTTCTTTTTAATAAGACAAAAAAAACCACATCTCTACCATATAAAGATACTTTATCAAGGAATCATTCTTTACAAGAGAGTTGTATATATTTAAAGGATTTAATTAATTGTTCATTATTTTATTATATTTTTTTTCGAAAATTAATAATTAAAAATAAAAAATTTATAAAAAAATCATGGCTACATATTAAAAAAATTATTACCGTATTACATAAAAATTAAAAAATATATGAATATATATCTAATTAAAATACTACTTTTTGTAAAAAATTCTAAAAGCCTCAAAGATATGAATTGGATTTGCTTAAATCCTTAAGTATGTTATTTTTACTTTAAAATTTACTTAAATTTTTAAATAGGTTATGACATAAAGACATTGTTTTGAAGTTTTTTGAACTTAAAAAATTTGTATAATAGTATTTAGTAACTAATATAATTTTTCTACAAATCTAAAATTTAAAGCTTTTTTATAGGATTAATAAATATAAAAATATAAAATGATATAATTTTTAATTTTTTTATTAATATTTATTTTCTATTTTTTAATTTTTTAATTTTTAATAAATATGTAAGTATATTATTTTAATAGATTTTTATTTATATTTATATCATTAAAAATTTAATAAAATTAATATATGAAAAATAAAAATTTAATACTTTTGAATAAAAAATTTAATACTTTCGAAAAAAAATAGAATATTTTTTAGAGTATCAAAGTCTAATAAAAATTATAAATAATATTTTTTAAATTTATTTTATTTAAGGTGTTATATTCTTAATTATTTTCTTTACTTTTGTAGTAGTTCTCAAGTTTATATAGTATCACGGATATATATATTTACCTAGATAAGAAATACTAGGTAAAAGATAAATATAGATAGATTTGATATTATTATATGGCAAAGCTTCTTAGGAGCTTCATATACACATATTTGACTTTATACATGTTTAAAGTTGAATTGTAGCTTCGAAACTTAGTGAACAAGTTAGCCATGTATTGCATATGTAGATAACTTGTAGTACAAGCTAATAATGTAGCGCACATATAAAAAACTTGCCTTGCAAGTTAAGACATGTCTTGCAAATTGGATATGTATTGGAGGTCCTATAGAACCTCAATATGTAGCTCCTAGTTAGATAGTATATAAGAAATCAAGAATGAAGGAAGCTTCGTTCTTGATTCCTTCATTCTTCATTTCTTATATACTATCTCAATATCTTTTTAGTCCATAGTCTTATTTCATTTTTTTTTTAATAATAGCTATTTTAATTTAATATTATACCATCT